AATTTTTAAAAATTTATATATATTTATATATATTTGATTTCACCTAAGCAGTACAAAGTAGCATGTAATATGTCTCTAATTTCGTTAGGTGAAATCAAATAGAGACATATTACATGCTATTCGTACTATTCAAGTGAAATCAAATAGATATGTACATGGGTTTTAAAAAGAAACTATTCGCACACATGATCAATGAGGAATAAGAAAACTCTATTTTGAAAAATGTGAATGATGAAAAGAATTCATTTAGTAAAATATAAGGGACTAAAAAATTCATTTTATGAAGTGTGAGAGACAATAAATTGAATTATGTAAAATTAGATTTGATATTTCGCCTTTAAAAAATTATCACGGACAAGGCATGTGGCAGATTTCGATCAAAAACTAGTTTGAAACCTAGACGGAAACCAAATTTGACTAATGTAAATTTGTAATGGACGTAAAATTACACTTTTAAAAGTGAGGGACGAAAAAAATTATTTTACAAAATGTTAGAAAAGTTTTAAATGATTTTCCCTTTTAGTAATTTGCCTTTGATCGATACAACTTGCAATAAAAGTTTGTTACCGAAAACAGTACTAGTAATAAAAGTTAGTGTGCAAATAGCAGTTTAGCCCTGAAATTTTGGAGAAATAACACTTTATTACCATGAATCTTGAAGATATGCACTTTACCGCCCATGAAAGCTGATCAAATGTTTAGAAAAGTTGCTCTACCCAAACTACTAGTACAATGACATTGTTGTGCCTAATTATTGTCAAAAATACTTATTTGGATTGCTATTTTTAGGAATTTTTAATGAAAAACATACTATAGTAATTTGATGTATGTGAGGTAAAAAAGTGATTGGAAAATATCTTCACGAAAAACGTAAACATTTTTCTGCAAAAACTCACAATCCAAACAAGTGTAAATTGCTATTTAGCATTATAAAAGGAGTCAATCACTCTAGTTCTAATGTACTTTAATAAAAGTTATACTTAAACATAGAAAAAAAGGCTATTTTTTAAAATGTAACCAATCATCTCGATGAATAACAAAAAATAATAATAATTTCAGTTTGGACTGAATTTGCTAATTTTTGAAGGCAATTTTTATTAGTCAAATGAAAATAACATTCCAAGTAAAACCTCAGCACTCTAATTTTCTTTTCTATTACTAAAATTGACAAATATGCCCATCACTTAGTGTCAGTTACAAAATAATATGCTTTTCTTTCTATTCCTAACTTCTCACCAGTTCTACTCCTTTCATATCCACCAACCACTTCAATCACTTCCGCTAGTGCAAATGTATACCCAATTTCCTAATCCAAGCAGCCAAAACAACCCCACCCCTTCGGAAACTCAAAAAAAACTCCCACAAAACAATATTCACTTTTATCCTTGGTTGATACATTTGCCACTACTATTAAAATTTAGAAACTCCCTAGTGAAGGTGGTGTTTTTTTCTCTGTATTTGCTGCAGAGTCAATGTGTGTACTTTATGTAGTACTAGGTGCATTACATTCTATTGCAAAAGTTTAGTGCTTAATTAATTTGTTCAATTTTACTTTTGTTTAATTTCTTATATAATTGCAGTGCTGTCTTTAGGAGAGATTAATATAATTGTGCAACTTGGATTTGGTTCTTTTTAGGAGTTTATGGTGGATTATTTAAAGAGAGATTAATAAAATTGTTGTACCTGAATTTGTGTAAAATTGTGGTACCTGAATTTGTGTTCTTTTTGGGATGGTTTACCTGTGTAAAATAGTTGCCATTATTGAATTCATGGAATCCTCAATTTCATCGCACTATATCATGAATTTCAGTCTTATATGAGGATCAATGTGCTGTCAAGCTAGTGCATGCTAGTGAATGGGAACAAGACTTCCCAAGATGGCTGATGGACTTAGTGCAGAAAGAAATGAGGGTAGTAGCCCCTTTTTGTAATTAAATCTTGTACTATCAAGTGTCCATATCTATATATATGAATCTGTTAACGTTTGTTGGGAAAAAAAATTACAAAGAGAAGGGAAAGAAAAAAGCTACTACATCACAGATTCAGTGGTGTTTCATAAATATCAAGTGTGTTCAACTAGATTTACGTGCCTGTTCTGATATTTCTGTTTATCCCATTCTTGAATTAATGTATCCCTGTAATGAAATAGCAGTCATCAGGTTCCATCTTCTTTTTCCATAGGCAACAAAGTCATTCCATTTCCTACCAAATGTAAAGCTCTTCATTCCTTTTCCTACCAAATGTAAACAGAACTCAACAGGCATCAGGCTGTCAAACTTTCACTCAGAACACATGAACAAACCTAAAAGAAACAGACACCAAGAAATGAGTGGTAGCAGAGAGACACAGGCACAGAAGAATGCTCTGAAAGTTTAGATGCGCAGACCACACTTCTGCATTTTTTTTTTTGGGGTCAAATTTCATGGCCAATCCAGATCTGTGATGATAGCATACTTCAGCGCCAACTTTAATTAATTAATTCACCACTCACTAAGGTTACAAAAATTGCACTCTTCCATCTGCATTAATGCGTAGCAATACTGTCATCATTAGTGATAGAATCAAATATTTATCGTTTGAGTTCAATCTTATCATACCGAAACTTGCTTCTGCAGTGCATGTGATTAAGAGACGAACTTAAAGAACTGAAGCAGAACATAAGCGTTGAAAGAGTTATTTTAAAGAACCAACAGCAAAATGGGAAAAAACAGAGACTGTTAAAACAAGTCAAACTGATAATAGTAGAAATTTCTTCTTCGGCCTGTGATTAAGAGACATTTACACTGCCCTTCTATTGAGTATCTGAATCTCTATCAAGTAAAAACTCAACAACTTTGCATGGCTGGATACCGAAGATGTCCTTAAAAAGGCCAGAGAATAGCATCTAAAGAGCAAAATCAAATAAAAAGAAGGAGCAAAAAAAGAGTGAAATATCCAGAGACCCTAAATGGAGCCAGTTAAGTATAAGATCCCCCTCCTCCAACATTTAGACTGTTATTGCACATTTTTGGAGCAAACTTCTCAACTATCTTAAAAAGGGATGGATCATTTCCACTATCTCTGAACAAAGCTAGTAAAAAGGCAAAAGTAGATACTTGCAGTGAGAATCCTCTCTTATCCATTTCTTCAAAATAAACCACTGCATCATCAAATTCGCTAGCCTTAATAAGTCCTTGGACAATAATATTTAAGATAAACAATGCAATTACTATATGGTATAGGCGATAAACTCAACATCTTCATGCTGCTCCATTGAGCAGGTCCAGTATATTAGAGAAGCGTTTTTGGTAGAATAAAAGAATAGAAGATGATGTAGGCCAGAACGTTGAGCGACAAAAGCAGCCTCTTTGCATCCAATGGCTTTTGATTATGCTAACAACTAAGTAAGCTTCTTCTATATTCTCTCACAAAATTCAGAAAGGGAAAGGGAAGCATTTTTCGTCTATAATAGAATAGAAGATGCCGTAGGTAACAACTAAGTCAAACTTACTTCTATCTTCTCCACTCACAGATAACTACAGATGATAATTTCTAAATATTCCAGCATGCTTATCACCTCATTCTAGAGAAAGGGAGGGAGCAGAAAGCTCAGAAGTGTGCCTGCAATGTGTATCAGTAGCTCAGAAAAATTCCCGTGGGGAGAAACCCTCAAGTAAAGAAGATACAAGGGAATTGAAGTTTAATAGTTTAACCATAGCTGCTCTTCAACCAGAACAAGCGGATTGAGACCTGCTATGCCACGGCTGTCCTTCAGTCTTTGGCTGGAGGGCATCCTTTGCCTTCCAAAAAGTGCATCAATAGTTCACGACTTGAAAATGGTGTGACAAAAACTCAGAAGTTAATGGTCCTAATACAAAACTGTTTGGACCTTAATTGTGCTCGTGCTTGCAAACTTAAGGCACCAAAACCCACCAAAAAACACTTTGTAACCTCTAAAATTTACAGAATGCAATTTCCAATTATCACAGGAGGTAAAAACTTCTGGGTGTTACTGCTAGTTACACTTTCTCTGATCTTTAATCCGTAAATTCAGGGACTTGTGAGCTAATTTCATGTCTAAGGGGAGGGCAGGGATGTATATGGGAAGAATTAGAACACACAATCAAACAAAGAAGACTCGAAAAAATGGCAGTCAAGTTTATTTGGAGAAAGTGAATTCTACAGTACAATGACTTTCAACCACAACTCCTGTTTTTTTTTGGTCACTTAATTGATTATTTTGCAACTGCCATGCGAACAATGTCTGTATAAGAACAATTAAGCTGCAATTTAGTAACCCGACATGACAATTACATGGACAAGCTATCATTATCAAGTAAGCATACATAAGAGTGACTCAAACAGACAATGTGAACCATCGAGACAATTAGGCATAAAATTTTGAGAAAGTGATGAGAGAGGCGTGATCACAGAGTACAAACCATGAAATGCATTGAAAACGGGCAAGCAGACACTCTTTTGTCTGATAGTCATGAGAGAGCTTCTAACACATTGTCGCTTACCACCATGCAAGCATTAAATCTTCAATTCTCTAGAATATGCTCAAAGATTGCTCCTCCAAGGAGTGTTGATAAATTTTTTGAGACCAAATGGACAGATACTGACAACAATATCAACTGCGAATCTACATCATGTACCTTTGGATGATTAAATGCAAGGAACCAAAAAAAGCAGCAGAATATCCAAAGGTCCCAAATGAAGCCAATTAAGGATAAGATCCCCCTTCTCCATTATTTAGACTTCCATTACCCATTTTTTGAGCAAACTTCTCAATTATCTTAAAAATAGAGGGATCATTTCCACTATCTCTGTATGAATCTAGTAAAAGTGAAAAAGTAGACAAATGCAGCGAGAATCCTCTCCTATCCATTTCATCAAAACATACCACTGCATCATTAAATTCACCAGCCTTAAGAAGTCCTTGAACAATAATATTAAATGTAATTTGACCAGGAGTGCAACCATTTTCTTAATAAACTCTTTGGCTTCCTGTTGGAAACCTTCTGAAAAGAGGCCATTTATCATCGTGTTATATGTTGTAACATCAGGGTCTAATCCTTTAGAAGAGAGACTATAGAAAAGATGTTGGGCACTGTCAAGCTTCCCACATTTGCATAATCCATCAAGGACGATGTTGTACATTGTTATCTGACAATCTACTCCATCAACTTCCATCTTGTGCAAAAATTGAAGTGCTTCCTCAACATGTGAATTCTTGCATAAACCATTTAACAACACACAGTAAGTGTAAAAATCAGGCTTTATGCCAGCAGCTCGCATCTCGTCGAAAACTTCGATTGCTGTAAGATACCTCCCGACACTAAATAAACCCTGCAGGACAGTGTTATAAGTTGCAACATTCGGTGTTAACCCTTTATGTCGGATCTCTTGGAAGAGACTCATGGCTGCTTCCACTTTCATTTTCTTCATATAACCATTGATCAATATACTATGGTTTTGAACATCAGGATTAAGGCCGCTAGCAGCCATTTTATCAAAAACTATCTTTGCTTCATCCATTCGGCCTTGTAAACAGTACCCATCCATCAATGCGCTATATGTAGCATTATCAGGCTTCTGATTTTGCTCAATCATGATTTTCAGTACCTCCTCTGCACCTTCTAACTGTCCTTCCTTACATAGTGCATCAATCAGAATATTAAAAGTAATAACATTTGGAACAATACTATAAGCCTTCATCTCAGTCAAGAGCTTTTCAACGTCCTTCCATTTACTTAAATTGCACAGACCCCGGACCAAACAACTGTAAGTGATGACATTGGGGGCAATTCCTTTCTCAATCATCTCGTGTAACAGGGAGAGAGCTTGATCCATCATTTTATCCTTGCACAACCCGTCGATAATAGTGTTGTAAGCAGCTGTATGAGGCCTGCACCTTCCTCCTTTTTCCATGAATCTAAGTGTGAGAACCCGTAATTTTTCCATTTTCTAGGTTTTATTATATTTCTCGGTTTTCTTATCTTCAATGGTTTGTTTTCTGCACTTTCTGTATCCGGAAAATTTTCTAGATAATTTTTATGAGTAAATATAGTTTTTAGATGATTTTCTAATATCGAATAGATTTTGAGAAATTAAGAACGTATACCGGACGTGGGACCCACTAGTGCGAAAAGTTCGGGAAAATTCGGCCAACTAGATTAAGTTTTGAATACTGGAATTAATTGACCGGGTGTTAAGAGATAAGTAGAGGGTGCTAAGTGGATTGATTTAAGAGAGACAAGGTAGGTGTGCATTTAATAAAAGGTGACAAGTGTCACCATTGGATTGGTCTTGAAGTAAGACCACTATTCCTTTTCTTACCATTGACCAAATAAATCAAAAACTAATCAAAAAATTCATCATTTTCTCTTCTTCTTGGCCGACTCCTTTCAAGCACAAAGGAAAGAAAACTCTCCACAATTTTGGTCTCCAACCTTGCTCAATCTCCAACTTCAACCGGTTAAATTTGTAATTGCTCCATAAAACTCCTCCACTTAGTGATTTTGAGGTGATTGGTGAAGTTGTTTGGAAAGTTAAGGTGACCAATAGCTCTCTCTCTCTTGTTTTAAAGGTAAGTTGTGAAGAACCACCTTCCTTCTTTAATTGATGCTTAAATCATGCTTAGTGGTTGTATGAGATGCAAATTTATGGGTTATTTCTTGATTTGTGGTTGAATTGATGGAATTTTATTATTTTTGGGGATTTTTCTGTTTTAATATAAGCATGATTGTGTGGCTATCTATGATGATTAGAAATGGTATATAAGGCATCTAGAAGGTGGAAAAAGTGGAAGATTGCAAGTAATTTCTGTTTTGGAAGAAAATTGAAAAACCTAGGGTTCATGAAGCTACATTCTGTCCGAATTTTTAGCTCCTAGTTAGAGGCCGAATTGTCCTTGGCTTAAAACATGAAAGTTGTAGGGAATGACATTTTAAAGGTGCCTACAAAATTTCAGGTCAATCGGAGTAGTGTAGAATGAGATAAGTCGAAATTACTATTGCTGTTCTGGTTTTACCCGAATGCAAGAATTGCGCCTGTAATTGGTTGTTTTGGCTGGAATTGCTTCCGAATTGGTTGTTGAGATCTTCTGATGAAATATAGCCCTATTTCTTAGCTTTCAACTGGTTTTGGAATTTCTGGATTTGGACCTGGAGAGCCTGAGTTATGATGTTTCCGCTAGAATACGTTTTGGTGAATCTGTTTTACGTTTTTGATGTAGTATCTTGCATTTTTGACCTATTTTCACTCAAAACTGGGTTGAGTGACCTTCTGTGATGTTGTAGCCCTGTCTTTTAGCTTCGAAATGGTGGGTTTTTCACCCTCATCCGATAATCGTAGTGAAATTGGTGCCATTACCGCAAAACGAGGACAAAAACTATTTTTTTTAGGGCCAAAGCTAATTGCATTTCCGAATTTTCTGGTTTCCTTTAATGTTTGTGTATGCTTAGGGAACCCTGTTTTGGTAGTATATAGAATTGGTTTATGACTTGTAATCGAGTCTTATTGTGTTCATTTGAATAGTTTAGGGCTTGACTTTCATGTCCGGTTATTTCCTAGCTAAATTTTGTACTTGAATGCCATTAAGCCTAGTGAACGGCTTTTGGGAATGAGATTATTTTTGTACAAGATGTTGGGACTGATTTGAGGAAATAATGAAGCCATGATGGCTGGAAAATAGGTAAACACAAGGGATATGCTGCCGAAATTTTACTTGAAGGCTAGTTGGATTTACTTGTGTTCTGAACGAAGGGCTTTTGGGTTGTTTGAGCCTAGGTCTTCATGTTACCTTTTCGTTACCAAAAATCATGTTTTGCACCTTGTTTTAGAAATTATTTGGCGAGGCATACGACAGGTAGTCGAGCCTCACATGTGCATTCTGTATACTCAATTTTGAAAGTGAAACCTTCAATTATTTTCCTTGGATTATTTTAGGGTTTATTGGTGATTAAAGCTCTCTTTTGGGAGGTATCTGCACTGACCCTGGTGAGTGTACTACTCACTTGTGTGTTACTATATGGCTATGAATGTAAATTGCATGAAGTGAATTGAATGTGACTTGATTGAAGTGAAAATGTACTTTATCGCTCTCACTTGTATGCCTTATATCATTGTTGTCATGTTATTGGAATGTTACATGAAATGTTACATGAAATGAAAGTACTTGTCGATTAGACGAGTATCCAACGACTACAAATGTTATCAATGAGTTCAACCCCATTGGTAGTTGATTGAATCGAGCCGGCGAGGGCTTGGTCGTGCCAATTAATGAACCTTGGGTAAAGTTATATGGAATCTTGTAGTATGCGAGACTCTCGATTCCGGTATACTCGAGTAATACCATAATGCAAGTGTTTGGAGTACGGGCCCGGTAGGGGGATGTTAGGTGGAAGGAGTAGGAGTAAAGTGGAGTCTACGGTTGGTTACCTTTGAACATTGACGGAGGGTCAATGACGTCCGATCAAGAAATGCAAACGAGGAAAGGGCTCTTGAGAGCCATCTGTATCCTTTTATCACCATATTTGACGTGTGCCTTTGCTTATCTTACTATATTGAATGAAAGCTTGATGCTTATATGCACTTGGTTGCGTAAGTGATAGTATCTCACTGGGCAATTAGCTCACACCGTTCCTTTTGTTTTCCTTACAGGGATATGACTCTTTTTGGAATGAATCTTGATAGATGGTTGCCGAATGAACTAGATGTATATTTCTTTTGTATTGTATATGAAGTGAAACCCTAAATGTATCTTTAGGGCCGTTTTCACTTTAAATTTGGCAAACCGTGTATATGTTAACTTTTGAAAACTTTTGTATGTCACTTTGGATTGTATTTGCTAAAGTTCAAGATGTGAATGTTTGTTCGATATTTGGTTGCGTTCTGATGGGTCGGTTACTATTCATGGCCGATTCCGAATTTCATTTTTTTTTATTTTGGGTTATTTTGCCCTTTTGCCTTGTTTGCGCGCGTTATAAGTTCCGAAACGCAATAGATCGCTCTAAACTGCACCGTTAGTCCTGGCGAGAGTTGGGCAGGCAGTCCGCTAACCCCTCTGGTTCGCCTTAAGGGAAGGTGGGGCTGTCACACTAAGGACTTGAATGGGCATGCTAGTGTTCCCAGCCTTAGAAAGCCCATCTATTACAGTCCCATACGTAATTTTATTGGGCACGCATAGCTTTTCATATATTATTTTCTTGAACAATCCTTGTGCCTCATGAATTTTGTGTTCCCAAAAGAGTCCTTTAAGCAGAGTGGTAAAGGTGGCCGTATTGGGCAAAATACCTCGCTTGAAGAAGCCACCAAATATAGAAAACCCAAAATTCACTTTACCCAAGAAGCAATAACAGTTAATCACAATATTAAGTGTGTATTCATCAAGTGGTATGCATCCCAACTCAGCCGCATCTCTGTAAAGAGAGAGAACCACCAAATATTGCTTCATCTTAACAATACGACCCATCAGTCTATTGAAATGAGCAACACTAGGCAGAGGTCTCATCCGAGCCATCTGCTTGTAAAAACCCAGAGCTTCATCAAGATTGCTGATACTATCGATATTACTCCTCAATCCCCAAGACCCGGAACGAACATTACTGTCAGATTTTGGGTGATAATTACTAACTGTACTACCAGTACTATAGGCATGAGAAGCAGCAGAACTAGAAGCTAATTGTGTGTTTTGAATAAGGGTGGAGTTTCTTGGAGAAAATGGATGAGTAGCAGTACCTCCTGCCCCTGATTTGTGGCGGAGATGAGCATCATAGACGACTGAGAAAGGCCTTTTCTTCATCTACTTGATGGTCTTCCCGTCCGAGTTCAGCTACAAAGATTCTATCATTTGTGACGAGATTTCTACCATAGGTAGCATATTGACAATATTACCTTTTTAAAAATCCAATAGCAATTAACATTAATACTATTATGACTTTTTTCTTTGGACAAATTATCTATTTGGCCCTTGAACTCTTAGTATAGGTAAAATTTAGCTCTCCAACTGTTAAACGTCAATTTTTAACCCTCCAACTTGTAAAATAGGAAATCCGTGGCCCTTCCTTTTGTCGAGGTTAGTGGCCCTTTTGTCCGCTTTATATCCAGTTTTGCAATTGAAGAGACCAACGGCACTATGCTTTATAGAAGGACCTTTTTTCCCCACACAAACAAAAAAGGCGGCAAAAAGCAAGATATCCATCATTTTCCCTCTGTAGAGGCGATGGTCAGTCGGTTTGTTGCCGGAATCAGAGTTGGATATGCTATGATGATAGCCTTTGTATATTCTGGTGGGATATCTCTAAGATCAATTTGGGGATTAATCACTTCTTTTACGGAAGCGTTCATCAACCTTGGCGAGTTGTTGGAATACGTGTCCAACTATTCTTTCCCCAAGTCTGCCGCCAACTTGGTCTAAGGGTCACAGTTCCCTAATTTATAAGTTGAAGGGCTAAAAATTGACTTTTAATAGTTGGAGGGTTAATTTTTGTCTATATTAAAAGTTTAAGGACCAAATAGATAATTTGGCCTTTTTTTGGATCCTGTAGCAATAATAATGTAGGGAACTTTTGATGCTGCAATTATCTAGCAAATTAGAGGCACGTCAAATGGGAATTAGAAGCAAATGTGGCTTAGTTGGATTTTCTTTCGCTTTTGAAATCCTGATGATTGTTGCCTTCTTACAATAATCAATAATATTAATTCTTTATATTAAATGAGTTGGTAAATTATAAGAGTGCCTTTTAATATTAAACTTGTTATGATTTGCTACAATATCTTTGACTAATTTCCTCTTTAAATTGCTACCTTTGCCATTGAACTTGTGTTTCTTATTTTGTCTTGATAATTTTAGATTTGGACTATTAATCATCGCAAAATTGTAAAATTACTTATTTACTGCAACTTCTCTTTATTGCACTTACATCTCTTTCAATTTGCCTTTTGCCTATTAGGTTTATTTAGTCTTAATTGCTGCTCTACTATTTATATAAAAAATAACGAAAGGGTACAAATCAAAGTAAATTATTATCCCTCCTCGTCTATGAATTTTTTATTAAGAGGTGGCAATGTTGCAAAAGATGTCAATCAAAGGGAGGTAAGAGAGATTTTTGAAATTATAAGGATATTAAATAATATTAAGTCAAACCTCAGAAGAGGTTTGTGAAATTACCCCAATAATCAATAAGTGAAGCAAAAGAAGCATATGCATAGTGCCTCGTTATGGTTTTAGTAAGAGAAAATGGTTCGAAATATTTCTCATATATTTGTAAAATGATTTTTCTGTCCTTTACTTTTAAAAGTGTACTTTTACGTCCCTTACAAATTTACATTGATCAAATTTGATCCCTATTTAGATTTTCGACTAGTTTTTTGTCGGAATCTGCCACATGCCTTGCAAGTGATCATTTTTAAGGGCAAAATTGTCAAATCAAATTTTATATAATTCGATTTATTGTCCTTCATATTCCACAAAATGAATTTTTTCATCCCTCACATTTTACAAAAATGAATTATTTTGTCTCTCACATTTCATAAAATAAATTTTTTCATCCCTCACATTTTTCAAAATAAATTTTTTCATTCCTCATTGAGCATGTGTACAATAGTTTTTTTTTTAAACCCATGTATATATCTATTTGATTTCACCTGAACAATAAGAATAATATGTAATATATCTTTATTTAATTTCACGTAAACTGTCCAATCTTAGTTGTACACATTCTATTCAATAAATATATATATAGGGGTTTAAAACTAATAATTTTGTTTTAAACCCATGTATATATCTATATGATTTCACCATGTGAACTTATTTAATATTGGTGGTCTTTTTCTTTTGGTAATAATTTATTTATTGCGTTATATAATAAGGCCATCTAATTAATCGATCATAACTCGTATTCTATAGTCATGCTAATAAATTATAATTTAAATCTAAAAATTTCACTCGTCACTTTTTAGACCAACAGTTAAATTACTTGTTTATGATTATCTTAAAATTTGAAAATACCTATTACTTAATTTTTTTGTCATACTTTTCCTTTGTTTAATTGTTTTTGTCCAAATTTAATTCGATATAAACACTCAATAATATTTAAAATTAAATGTCTTCTCTGTTTTCAATTTTCAAGTAAATCCGTTTGGATTAGCTATTTTTGAGGGTATTTTTGAAAAATTTTGCTGTAGCAGAGTTTTTAGAGTATATTTTACAATATTTTTAGAAAATATTTTGGGCTATTTAAGAGTAGAAGAGTTTCTAGAATATATTTTGAGATATTTTTTTAAATTTTAAAAAAATTAAACTAATTTTTAGATTACCTTTTAGAGTACTTTTTAAAAAATTTTATTGTATTTGAAAAACTTGTTTTTGAAAAACAGGGGATCCAAACATTTATATCTAAACTAATTTTTAGATTATCTTTTAGAGTACTTTTTAAAAATTTTTATTGTATTTGAAAAACTAGTTTTTGAAAAACATCCCAAAAACAGGAGATCCATGAGGGATAAGAAAAATTTATTTTGAAAAATGTGAATGATGAAAAGAATTCATTTAGTAAAATTTAAGGGAATAAAAAATTTATTTTATAAAATATGAGGGACAATAAATCGAATTATGTAAAATTAGATTTGATAATTTTGCCTTTAAAAAATTATCACGAACAAGGCATGTGGTAGATTTCGATAAAAAACTAGTTTGAAACCTAGATAGGAACCAAATTTGACTAATGTAAATTTGTAAGAAATGTAAAATTATACTTTTAAATATGAGGAACGAAAAAAATCATTTTCAAAATGTTAGAAACGTTTTAAACGATTTTTCCTTTTAGTAATTGGCCTTTGATCTGTAGACACCAAAATTTTAATTCTATTTAATTCCAAATAGGTGTTTGCAAATAGGAGTTTAACATTTTGTTTACCCTAAATTTGTTTTGAAAAACAAAATAAAAACAGAAACAACAAAAAACAAAAATATGTGGAATGCGTGCAAGATAGTTAGGTGGAATGCATGCAAATAAGCCATGTGATTTTGGCCTTTTGCACACCACAACACTTGCTAGATTAGGAGGGTAGGACACTTGTTGAATTGAAAAAAATCTGGAAATTAGGACGAAACAAGGAAGAGGCTTGGGGCAGAGAAGAAAAAAGAAAAAAAAAGGGGGTTTCGAGCAAGGGAGAAAAAGAAGGAAAAAAGAAACCGAGAGAAAGAGTGAAGATGGAGAAAAGGTGACAGCTGAGGATCAAGAAAGCGAGCAAGGGAGGAGGAGGAAACAACAGAAAAAAAAAATGAAGAGAAAGAAACCAGAAAAAGGAAGAAACTGGGGAGGAAAAGAAAGAGAGCTTTCGAGCAGGAGGAAAAAAGAAAGAAGGAAAGAAAGGGAGAAGAGAAAAGAGGGGGAGGAAGAGAGAATCAAGGGGATCAGAGGGAAAAATAGAAAGACAAAACGAAAGGAAAAGAAAGGAAAAAGAGAGAAAAGAAGAAAAACGCAGAAATTTTTTTGATAAAGTCTGTACCAGGGTTGACTGTTGGGGTTTTTGGGTGGCTGTCTTTCGATCTTTGTAGGATTTCTCCAGCACAATTATCACTTTCTGGGAAATCTATGAAGGTTAAGGAGCAAGATCGGTGTTGGAAAATTCTGGAGAAAATCGCTTCAACATCCTCAAATGGAGACCCCAACCTGTTGCCTTCACCAAACTTGAGCAACTATGAAAGAAGGTCTTTGCTTCATTTCCAGCAATTCAGACGGTCGTTTCCAGTTTTGCTCACATCGATCCAATCTCCAATCATTCACAGGTAATGATAACCACTTTTATTGGTTGAGTTAACGGTTTTCATGAATTTTCTTGAACCATTTACAAGCGTTTTGCTTTGGAATGTGGTTCTCGGATGCTTCGCTTGTTCCCTGATGCTTTGAAAAACTAGTTTTTGATGGTTTAAGTTTATCCAAAAGGATTGGAGATAGTTCAATGTTTGGGCGATGTAGTTAGAAAATTCTTAACTCCTGATGGTCCCATTGTTGGTTTCATCAGAAGCCGACTGCGTCATTCTTTCCTTGCATTTCCCGTCTGATTTCCTTTGTTTGATCTTTAATGGCTATGTATTCTTAGTAAGATTGTGTTAGTCAAAGTGTGTTGAAGTTTTAATGGGTTTGGAGTTTGCTGGCTTGGTTTGAGATTGCGTAAGACATCTCAATTGAATAAGCTGCAAAGTTGCAGAAAGAAACCAGCGAAGAAGAAAGCTTCTTCGAATCAGATGCATGAAAATTTCTGAAAATTGTACTTTAACCCCCAGTTTTCCCCTTATTTCTGCTATGGCCCAGAAAATTGAAAAAATCAATTAATCTTGTCCTTTTAAAATGTTATTTTTCTTCGGCATGCTTTAATATGATTTTTGGACAGATTATTTATGAGTTTAAGGATGAAATTTAAGGTTTAATAATTTTGATTGATTAATAATTTTTTATTTGGATTTTAGCAAAAAATTTAAAGATTTGGGTAATATCTTTGTGGGTTTTGATTTTT